ATGAGAGAGGAAAATCTACAATAACAATGATCAGTGGAACATAAACACATGGTAGCTTGTAAACAAAAATAGATGCACAGCGCGTTTAGCGCAATGAATAAAACATCAGCGTTTGATTTTCCAAAAACCGGGATCGGCAGAGATCAATGAGCGAAAAGAAAACGGATAGCGATTGTTGGTGTCAGAACCAGATACAGGATGGTTCAATATCGCAAATGCGCACAAAGTGATATCGAATTTGCAGGGATTGTGACAGTGGAAAGATAAACGAACTAAGGATAATGAGGTTGCGAGGGGAAAATCAAAATACCAATCTTTCTAACCAGGTAATTGATACTTCGGACGAGTTTCATTCATTGTTTTGTTTGAACAGGGAAGCCTATTTGGCCCTATCATTTTAAAATGAATGCGACGCAAAGATTCTATTGAAAACGTTAAATGTTAACGAATCAAACTAACTTTGGAAAGTTATTAGCCCTCCAAAGGGACACAAGGCGCATATACAAAAGCTGAGTGAAATTTTCGGGTTTTGCAAGTCGTACATAGAATCATATGGTATCCAAACTTGACTAAAGCATTGGAGCAAAAACATCATAAGTTAAACTACCTTTGTTAGTGGCCTGTGTATAGAAGCAGAAATGACTCTCAAAAAAGCGGAAATTCTTCAATGGGAAAAGCAATATAAAGCTAATCTATACCCAAGTACTTTCTTCACACATTCCATAATGGTGTACTTTTTCTTTGATTAGAAGTTCGAGGTCACCAGACCAGTTTGCTGACCTGCGTTCCATCGCTTCACATTAACATCATCTACGCTTAAACGTCAATCCATAGGCAACTTGCAAAGAGATAGGAACGGGGAGAGGGGCGTAAAATTTCGGAAAGCCTAGATAGTTTAGCAATTCAATTGGTTATCTATAGCACATAGCAATGGAATGTGAGGCTATCACGCTGATCAAGCGTAGGAGAAAAAAAGTATCCTACTTGCTCGAGCGCAATCTCCGTTGATATCGATTCTTATATCAAGACAGATGGAACTACGAACAAAATTTACAAAAGGGATAGAACATCCCAGAATGAGATCTCAACTACGCTACCGAGAAGAAATACCAAGGTTCTAGAATGTCAATAGCTTATTTTTAACTTATCTTATAAGCTGCACAGTACCTTACTCAGATATAACCAAATCTAAAAACTAAAAGACAACTTCAGAGTAAGCATTTATAAATGGCTGTTTTACCCTAAAAGACACCTTGCACTAAGAAACACCTCTAAATAGGCAATCACTAATTTACTTACCAAATTGAAGACACTTAAAACTTTTTGTGATGTGAAAACGATCCAGATGCTGAAAATAAGACTGTGAGTGTAGAACAAGGGAAAAACAACAATGT